ATTCCTAATAATGCTTTTAATGAAATTGCACATAATTCATTTAGGCTGTCTCTTTTATAAAAATTACTTAAAAAATTAATAACTAAAAAATAATTCGAATTTGATTTTTTAACAGATAGATAATAGGAACTGTGATTAAATATCGTTATATTATCACCATGATTACTAATATCTAGTAATCTCTTTGCTTTTAACATCTTTTGTCTCACATAACTTGAATTACCAGTTTAATATAATAGCAATTATTTAAAGATAAATTATCAGTATTTACCAATATTAAAATTAAATTATACTCACTGATGTCTTAATATAATGTGTATAAATCACACAATATGTGCAGGTTGTAAGTTCAGAAATTCAATATAAGAAAAAATCATTTAAAAGCAAATTTGAATTATGCTTCAACATTGAAATTAAATTTATACTCACTGATGAATTAATTTCCTATGCAGAAAATATTCAAGTAGTAAGTTCAGAAATGCAATATAAGAAAAATATTTAAAACAAATTCGTATTATGTTTCAACATTGAAATTAAATAAGTACTTAAATCTAATAATTTAATATAATAGCAAAATACAAAATAAGTCAGAGAGTTATCATAAATTTTAATTTAAAATTTTTAAAAAAAATAACTACCTTCATTGAACACTAGTTCAGAAACAGCAGAAATTATAAAAACCAAAATAATAAGGATAGATAGTTTTGTTGGCATTTTAGCAAATCTTAAGTGAGAATATAAATTTGATTAAGAAATTAGTAAAGCATGAAAAAATATATTGTTAATTATTTATATCGATACTATTTGGCGTAGGTACATGTAGTGTTACATGACATATGTGTAACATTAGTCTTTTTTTTTTTTTTTTACATCTCATATTTTATATGTAATTAAAAATTATTCCTGTCAGAGAATTAAATTGTACTAATTAGCCAAAGGGATTAACCTATCATATGTGCTGCTGTCAATAGAAATAAAGCAGATTTACATTAAGGTAGATTTGTTTTAAAGTGTCAATTTATCTTATTTCTATTGACAGATATAGTGTTATAAGTGTTACGTGACATATGCGATAAGGTTTTCTTTTTCTTTTTTCTTTTTATAATATTAAAGGTAAGACACCATATTTTATTTTAACTAAAAAATTATTACGTACGAAAATTCTGATGCTTTTATCCTGTTAAGGAATTACATAACAGCTATGTGTGTTATTTGTATGTTCTACAAAATAGATTCGTGCCATAATTTAGGATTTGATTAAATAATAATCGATTTGGATCTATTATTATTACTGAAATACAAAATGTTAAAACTCTGATCTCTTATGATTTTTTTTTTTTAATGCAGAATTAATATTTTATGAATCTTTTATAATCTATACTAAAATAGTTTTGTATAATCACATAATCGAATGACAATTAGGTGATTTTAATATAAAACTCGATCAAAAATATTTTATTTTGCAAACCACGATAAATATACTTACTATATAAGCATAAAATAACGCTCGTAGTAGGGATGGGCAAATTTTTTACATAATCTTATACATTATTATTTAAAATTTTTGTCTAATAGACAATAATAAGAAATCATATCATCATTTATTTAAATTTAATTACTGTTAATGCTAATTTAGTTTTTTAAAATTTTACGAAGGGATTTAAAATGGTTTAATAATTTTATTTGGTAATCGATTTCTCTTAAAAATTATGTAATAATATGTAATAATTTACAAAATATGTAATGATTAAAAACTAAATATCGATTACATAAAAAAATTACATGATTATTTTACTGATTCGATAAGCTATTGATCTCAGTATATAGGGCATGAGCAATCATAGCAAATATTTATTCGTCACAACTATGATTGCTCACATCTTATACACCGAGATCAATAGCTTTTTAACCAGATGTTCCAAATAAATATAGTTACTATTACAGCATGTGCTGTATTAAAAATTGCCAAATAATCTAGGAGACACTTATGATGTGCGATCATTAAATAATATTCTAAAAAAAACAGAATTTTTGATCTGCGTAAATAAATATAGTGATTAGTTGTTTATTCATGATTCGATTAGATAAAAATTAAATAATATTTTGTGATTCGATTAGATAAAAATTAAATAATGTTTCGTGATTCGATTGGATAAAAATTAAATAATATTTAAGTAATATTCTGATTATATCAATTTGATTTTAATAAATCACAGGTTACATAATTATTATATCGATTTAACTTAAATTAACTTAAATAAATCACGGATTACGTGTTGTGAATATTTTGAATCGTGACTACTATAAATCATTAAATACTGAAATAAAATATAATCATAGTTAACACAACCTTAAAATATAATCGTTGTTAAATATATACTATAAATTGAAACATGTGATAACACTATTTTTTTAATTTTAATAATAAATAATAAACAATTAAAAAATTAAAAAAATGATAATTAAATTAAAGTATATAACAATACTTTTTTAGATTCAATTGAAACTTGTGAATCTTAAAAATATGTAGATATCAGAAATTATACTAACACTAAAAAATATAACCATGAAAAAAATGTAATGATGATGATCGCTGTTAGTACTGTCATAATCAACATTGAGATATAGTCATGATCAATGTTAAATGTAGTCATGATCAATATTGAAATATAGTTATAAGCGATGCTAAAATTTAATAATAATCAACACTGAACACTTGCAATTATATCTATAACTTAAAAAAGTCTTACTATAACTGTTTAGTAAACAATACGCCAGAAGTGAACCTGTAACCTATTAGAAAACATTTTCGAATTTATCAAAAATAGTATTAAATTATATTGATATCGAATATAAAATAAAGTTATGCATACTACTACAAATTTTTTATAAATAGTTATTTTTCATAATTATTTCATAATTATATTATAATATAATACATTATTTTTCACAGTTATAATATTATTTAATTATTTTTCACAGTTATAATATTATTTATAATGATAATGATAATAACATCAGATAGCGTTACAATAATTTTATTTACTATTTTATTTTATTTTTAATAATAATAATAATAATAATTATAATTAATTAGAATGATAGTGAAAAAAATATAAAAATGAGAAAAAAAAAATGCAGAACATGATAAACTGACAATTTTATTTTATTTTTTTCTTTATTACAATTATTACAATTATGGGAAGACATATACGACACCAAAAATCTAAATTTACAAACTCTAAATATCATATGCAAAATATACGTAAAATTAAACCATTACCTGAAAATAATAAAAGTATGAATAATGAAATAGTTAAAAACAATAACAATAATAATAACAGTAAATACTGACTTTGGTGGGATGAATTAAAATTTATGAACAACAGTAACTATTTACATGTTTATAATCCCAAATAGAGTTGACCATGTTCTGAATGTGGATCACAACTTCTTTCATCTGAACTAAGAAATTTTTGTTATAACCTATTACTAAGACATTTTATTTCACCACTACGACTATTACCACCAAACTTACAAAATCTTTATAAATCTAACAATATTACAGATAATTTTAGTTATCTTAGCCGTCAATATAATTCACTTTTTTCATTTACTACACTTGGCTATACAGGTGGTATAATATATTTACTACATCCACACGCTTTTGCAATAAATGGTCATACATATCATCAAATTCATCCTGCTAATACAGAAGATTACCCAGTCAACTGGTTTGTTTATGATGCAAATACATGAAATTATGTTATAAATTAACGTAATTTAAATCAAAATATAGTTGAACTCATTGAGCAAGAATTAGCTACTATAAATCTGTTTATTCAAGATTTGTATCAACTACATAATATAGATTATCCACAGGCTTAGTTAGTAATTCAGCAATCTACAGCCAATGCTGAAATTGCTGCATGTACGATCGTTCATTCAACAGCTATAGTCCATGAATGATGTATACAAATTTGGCGCATAATGAACATTATGAAGCACTGCAATATCTACTTTTTTTTCTATATAGTGAAATTAGTTGGTACATATATTAGACAGAAAATGAATATTCTAATATACAAAAAATTTCACAAGTTGATTATTACTACTATCGAATTATGACTAAAACCAGGTTTAATTTACTTGGACATTTATTTAACGAATATTTAGTAAACATGTTTAGCAGAGCAGATGATGAATATTTATAATTCATACGTAAAGAACAACATAAATTTCGAAAAAGAGGACTAGAGGAAGATGAATCACTAGATGATAAAGCTGAAATACATCCTAACAATATTTATTTACTAGCTTCATATACACTTTCATATAGATAGTCCTATAAAAAAATGATGGATACACTTGCAGTAGTAAGTAAATTTGGTCGACCAACACTTTTTATTATTTTTACAATGAATCCAAATTGGCAAGAAATTTAGCAACAATTGCATTCTAGTTAAAATTATGCTGATCGACCTGATATTATTGTATGTGTATTTAAACAACATTTAACTTATTTACGTCAATTATTAAAAAAACATTTTGGCAAAATAATATATTATATAGATGCTATTGAATTTCAAAAACGTGGGTTACCTCATGCACATATCATAATAAAAACAACCCCGAATTTACTTTAAACTGAACACATTGACAAAGTAATAAGTGCAGAATTGCCTATGAATAATGATTTTTGACAAAATTACCTTTGAGATTTAGTGAAACAATTTATGATACATCAATGTAATCAAAGATGTATGCTAGAAAATAATAAATGTAATTAGAACTATCCTCAAACAATACAAGAAAATACTATAATAGATAAACAAGGCAAAATATATTATCGATGTCATACTGAAAATGATATAAACATTATACTGTATAATGCATTTCTTTTACTAAAATTAAATTCACATATCAATGTAGAAGTAGCTTCTACGTCACATATAATATCTTATCTTTACAAATATATATATAAAGGACCAGACCATGCAATGATAAATATTCAATTAGAAGAAAATAATGGATCAGAACATGAAATAATTGATGAAATAAATGATTATCTTAACACACGTTATCTTTCTGCTATGGAAGCAGCTTGGCGTATTTTTAAGTATAGAATGGCTTCACAAACACCATCTGTAACATATTTACCGATTCATTTATCTGAAGAACAAATTATTCTACGTGGAAATATAAATAATAATCTATCATCATTACAATGTTATTTTCTTCATCTATTAAATCCTGAATTTGACAACCTTACATACTGTGAATACAATGAACTATATCTTTTTAATTATGCAGAAGAATCAATTGATCAAAACTCATTACTACCAAATACTTATTTAGAAAACAAACAAGAAGGATATCGTCAATGCATTGTTAAGCCTTACAAGCAAGGTCATTTACATGTAGCACAAATAAATATAGTACATCCATGTATAGGTGAAAAATATTACCTTCATATACTCTTAAATCATCGTGCAACTAGATCCTTTGAACATTTACAAACAGTAAAGAATATAGAATATCCAACTTTTCAACAAGCAGCACGAGCTTTAGATTTATTAGATGATATTACTGAAAATGAACAATGCTTTACCGAAGCAGTATCTTATAATTGTATACCAGCACAACTTCACTTACTATTTTGTCATCTAATATTAAAAGGCATAGCACCGCAAACCATCTGAGAAAATTATTATGAATTACTATCGAAAGACTATATAAATATAACAGGTAACATACAACAAGGAAAAAACAAAATGTTAACATGGATTGCCAACTTTTTAGAAGAATATGGTTGTAACATAATACAAGTTGGCTTACCTCAACTACCTAATCACATTTACGAAATAATACAAATTCAAGAACAATTCAATAATTATGATATATTAATCTCAAAAAAAGAAAAAATGATTAATAAACTTAACGCTGAACAGAAAGATATCTACAACAAAATTATGTATCATATATATAACAACAAACCCCTAATAGTATTCATTAATAGATATGCAGGCCATGGTAAAACATTTTTAATAAATACAATATGTACTATGGTAAGAAGTTTAAAAAAAATAATTCTTCCCTGTGCTACAACCAGTTTAGCTACACTAAACTATATTGGAGATCGTACTGCACATTCGTTGTTTCGAATCCTAGTTGAATACAATGATGATAGATGCAAATGTCAAATAAATCCAGAAAGTGAACGTGCTGAATTAATTCGAGAATCATCTGCTATTACTTGGGATAAATTACCAATAGCTCAAAAGAGTAACATTGAAGCAGTAGATATATTAATTCATAATCTTTGCAAATATAACTTACTATTCGGAGGAAAAATTTTTATAGATGTAGGAGACTTTCATCAAGTTGCTTCAGTAATATCAAATAGTAGTCAAATAGCTACAATACTTGAATCAATAAAATCATCTTCATTATGGAGTAAATTTGAAATTTTTAATCTTCAAATACTGATTCAAGACTCTTATGATATAGAATATTCAAAATTAATAGATGATATAGGTGATGGTATCAATAGAGAAAATATCACTTACCTATTCTAAATACAACACATGAACTAGACAATGCAATAAACTTTGTTTTTCCTCCGGATATATTAAATAATCCAATTACATGTCTTCAACGAGTGATTCTCTATTCATTAAATATAGAAGTAAATAAAATTAATGATATAATTCTACAACAATTAAAAGGAAATGAAACAAATTTATACAGTACAGATGACCTAGCAAATGATAAAATACAAGAAAATAATACAAATCAACGAAACATGCCAACTACTGAATTATTAAATTCATTCAATGCACTCAAAATACCTCAACACTGTCTTACATTAAAATGTAGTTGTGTAGCTACTATAATGCGTAATCTTTCACTACAAGATGGCCTATGTAAAAACAGCAGAGTAATTATTATAAATATTGGATATCAATTAATTACAGTAAAAAATCCTAAAACAAATTGCATTGCATATTTGTCATGAATTACTTTTATATTTCGTATTTCATATTTTCTATTTAAAATTAGATATCATCAATTTCCTTTGCGTTTAGCTTATTCTTCAACATTTAACTCTTTACAAGGATTAATACTTGATCGAGTAGTACTAGATTTACATACCTAGTATTTAGTCATAGTCAACTTTATACTGCATTGACAAGAGTTCGTCAATAAAATCATATTTTACTACTTACTAAAAAAGACCAAATATCGAATTTCTTTACTACCAAAAATATTGTATATTCAGAACTACTTAATTAATCTTTTTTACTGCAAAAAACATAACAATAAAATGAATATAAATTAAAAAATAATCATCCGAAATAAACTTTATATAAAACATTACAACAATATAAAAATATAAATGAAATAAAAACATAAAATATAAAAATATTATTCTTTTTCATTATTAGTAGCTTCAATACTATGTTCAGATAATTGTGAAGTACTACACAAAGACTGACCCATATAATTTTTACCTCCCTTATTACCATGATTACTTTTATGATATTTCTCATCAACATTCTCAATTTGCAAATTATCTTTCTCAACATCAACAAAATTTTTCGTTGATTCTTCTAATAACTCAATCCTTACACGTTTTGAAGAACTATCTAAAGATGAACCAGATTCATTATTATTAACAAAATTATTCAAAACTACAAATTTCTTAATATCGGAAACTTCTTTCAAGTTTTCAATAATATTATGATGAGTAGCAATAAGTTTGAATTGAGTTATATTACCAGAATCTAATGAATCACAAAAACCACTACGATTAGCACCTTTTTGCTTAAATAAATGCTGAATATTGATAAAATTAATATTCTTAGCATATATATAAAAATCATTTTCAATAACCTCCAACTGTCCTACAACAAAAATTAATGATTCCTGCGAACGCACAGTATTTTTTAAATATGCAAATCGAGAATTTAAATGTTAAAAAACAACTTTAACAGCAAAGTTAAATTCCTGACTAACATAATCACTTATTAAAACACCAAAAATAGCATTCTCATTATTTCCAATAACTTGCGGAGATTCTTGAGGAACCCCTACTACTGAAACTCTCAATGGACATTTATTTGAATAATCACCTTTTTTAAGAATAGACAAACCAGTAGAAATAGAAACTGTCATCTATATAAATAAAAATTTGTATATTTCTAAATAAAACAAAATGAATATATATTTAATACAATTAAAATAACTATAACTATTACTGTCAGTCTTTTAACACCCTCATAATAACTAGTTACAATCTTTCCGCAAACTGAATAAATACTATCTTTTTCAAAAACAGCCTATATTTCACGATCTCTTTTATCATGATTAGTCAGAACAAACAAAACCATCTCAATCTCATTGTCTTCACGCTCCACTGGATATACTTCGATAGCCTATACTACTAATAAATAACTATTACTCTTTTTGCTCTTCTAAACACACTTAATTCTCATAATAGTATCAGCATAACACGGCATAATTAAATTCTATCGATTTTTTTAATTATAAAACAGAATTCAAACTTTTATAATTCAACTTCCACTAAACACAACTCTAATAAATATAAACATAAAATATCCATTACGTTAACAACACATAAATATTATAACTAATATGTAAAATATTGAATAAATATCTATTACGATAATAATACGTGAATATTAACTAACATATAAAATATTAAAAAAAAAACAATAAATATAAATATAAAATATCTATTATGTTAACAATATGTAAATATTGATACAAAAATCATATAAAAAAAAATAATATATAATACATACGTCACAAATAAAATAAACACCTGATAAAATTAAAAATTTAAAACCCAAGAACACAGAACTTATGCAATAAGAATTTGTAAATATGCATGCTATATATGTAATTTATCGATTAGCTGATAATTAAAAACAAAATGATAGAACTCAAAAAAAAAAAAAATATCAAATTAAGACCAAAAAATCAAACTACAAAACTAAACAATGATAAATTATTACACTATTAACTAATACAAATATCAAAATTTTATCTACATAATATTACATTATTTCAATAACAATATTCCCAAAAACCTTCTTTTTACGAAATAAGAGTTACAACTACACCTTTTATCATTATAAACTACTTATAATTTACAAATAAAAACTACAATTATAACTTAACAAACACTATAACAAATATACAGATATTAAAAACTATAAAATACTAAACTAAAAACAAAAATTTACAAATATTAATATTAAAAGAATTTAAGATAGGTGGTGCAAAGCACCATCTATTGCACTAGTTTTATTATAAAAAGATATCAATATTTGATTTCATGATTATCCTTAACAATAAATAACAGATAATAGAAGATTCCCAGACAGAAATTTAAAATTTACTAAAATATATTCGTTTAAATGAGATCTCAGTTTTACCTTGAAAAATTAGCTAATTATTAAACTTCATTTTATATATAAACAACCTGTGATCTGAACTTTTTTTTTTTCTTTTTCATTATCACTGTTTGCAAACCCCATAATTTTTGTAATAATGCAAGAAGATTTTAAATAGAGAAAGTAAATCAGGCTCCACATAATCCTGATATAAATCTGATTTGAAACAGGTATTTAGCAGAAATAAAGATACAAATCGAGTTCATGTAGACGTTCAATATATATTAGAATTCTGATAGCTTTCTAGAAAAATTGATAAAGCTTTCCTTATAGCTTTATCGATTTATTTAGAGAGTTATCTACATTCCAATATATATAGAACCTGATTTGTATCGATAAATTCTCTATTTAAAATTATGGGGTGTGTTACACCTAGGAATGAAATGTGATTGAAAATTGCATATGAGCTGATTTTTGTCGATTCAACCCCAAAAATCACCCATATTGATATTGTCAGTAAACCCTGTTGGAACTGTTGCAATTTGGATCGTGACTCAAATTGTAAAACTAGCATTTTAGCAAGAGAAAAAACCCAAAACCTGGAATAAGCCAAGCCTAACTAACCTGAAGTACTAATTAATCTAACAATGGAATAAAAGATTAGTAGAATATAACAGCACGTAAAAAGCAAAAAGGAAAGAACCTACCTTTACGAGTCCATGCTGCAAAGATATTTTTAGATTACACAGCCGCAGTATTATAGACGGGATCTACAAGAACAAGAAGTTAATAAAAAATGGAAACATTAGTAAAAGGGAAGGAAGGAAAAAGGAGTAAACGCACAGCATACTTCCCTATAGAATTAGTTATAAAAGCCCTCCTTTGTTCTTCAGTCTTGTATCAATGAATCAATCCTTTCTCCTGTAATTAATAAATAATTTTTAACAAAAATTTAAGAATATTATTTGCCATAAAAATAAACATATCTGTTTAACTGTGTAATGTACTCGATTGCTTTACATTGCCATCGTTTCTGCCTCAATAATCTGTCGAGTATCATTACGAGAATTCCTGAAAGAACGAGTAACTAACTTACTATCTTTTCCTCTAACAATATGGAAACAATTTTTGTGATTTCATCTGGCTATCCTTGTGGTTAATAGATAATCCAGTTTGAAAATAATATCCAGATTCGATCGCAAGTACGTACATACGTATGTAAATTATTAATTCCTAGACAGAAATTTAAAACATATTCGTTTAAATGAAATCTATTTTATTATCTAAATTAAACCTTTTTTTATTAAATGCAATTATTAATTTAATTTTTTTTTATTAAACTTTATTTTATTATCTATAATTAAATCTTTTTTCATTAAATGCAATTATTAATTTAATTTTTTTTTAATAAAATATAATAAGTACTAATTTGAATGAATATATGATTCTTTTTAAAAATTCGGAATTACAATTTTAAGAAAATTGTAAATTTTTTTTTTGTATAAAAAGGTAGCTAAGTTATCTACTTATATTTACAAATTCACATTTTACGAATTAAATAACCTAACTTATGAAAAAAAACTCTAATCAGATAAAGGAATCATGAGCAAAATCTTTATTTTAATGATTATATTATTGGCTATGTTTTTCATAGTCAATGCAACTACTAGCTTTAGTAATTGTTCAAGTTCTAGCATTACTGCACCTGTATTAAGTGTATCAATTTCACCTGACTCTATTCCCGATGCTGAATCAGTTGTTACTTTTAATATTTTGGGAACACTAAGTGAAAAAACTAACTTGACTTCTCAACTTTTGATTTCATTTAATATAATTGATGATATCATCATAGATCCTAATCAAATTGATAATGACACTATAGGTCTCTCTATTGTTTCAGTTAAAGCAAGAATAGTTTCTATTAATCTAACTCAAAACATTATAGTACTACCTTATTTGCCTGAATGGTATTTGATAAAGACTACTATTAGTAATCAATTTGGAAATGTTCTTGGCTGTGAGATGGCTTTTATTGGGCCTTCAAATAATTAATTTATTTATTTATTCCTTAAGTTTTTTTTTTATTTTTTTTTTATATTTTTGGCTAAAAGCCTCAAGCCTTACTCTACAAATTTCTAGAATGATTAGTTCCCAGTTCACTAATATAGATTTAGGTTTAGCATTCAGAAATGTCAGAATATGAAACCTTAATTTAAATGACTTTATTATTAATAAAAAAATTCTTAGTTTAGAATATAGTAACTGACTAAAAAA